CTAATATATTTACCCTCAAAAAAATCTGTAATATTTTTCATTGGGATCTTATCAGTTGTGTATCATATTTAAATAAAAATTTATATTGTGTCTTTTATTGAATCACCATATTAATCCCCAAATCAGACTTATAGAACTCTTTTGCATTGCCTATGTTGCAAATACAGGGATGAACCATTATCTAAAGACTTGCTCAAACTCTTCCACAGTAATCTGCTCCTCAAGTTTGCCTTCAGAGCTTTCTAGATGTTGGCCTCTTTGCCATCGTTATGTTTCTCTCTTTTGGTTAAAGATAACCAAAGCAACTCGCTTATCACATGGACTCATCATCTCATTCAACTATATTTTATCCTAATTATTGTACTCTTTCACAACTTTAGCATCCACTCCTTCCTTAAATATGGACGGCCTGATGCTCTGAAATAATTTTTCGCTAAAGATTCCATTCCTGATCATTCATCACCCTCATTTGTCTCAACAATGGCTAGTTTTGGTTACATCGAATCTCTCCCTTTTCCTCACACTTAATTTGATCACATGAGGGTTTCAACCCCCTCTCCATCTACTTAACTTGCTCGTTCCTTCACTTCATCTTCCCTGTATTCAAAACATTTGCGTTGCTAGTAGAAATTCTTTTTTTTAGTATTTACATTATAGATCTTTGGTTGATAGTTAAGTTTTTCATAGTTGAAATGATAATGCTAAGATGAATATGTCATAATATGGATGATACCAGAGTTAATCTGAACAACAATAAACAAACAAATATTAGGTTATAACCAACATAAAGAAATTGAAAAACAACATACACAACACTCAATTAGATTTGTATCCCATAGGGGAGGTGGTCACTTGGTTGCTTGGAAGACTAGATGGTGTGGCGGCAGGAAGGGAACGATGATGGCAGCCAAGGGAAGGTGAGAAACTATCAGAACAATGAGAAGTTGGGCTGTTCAGGGCGGTGGCAGCGAGGACAAGGGGCTAGACTGCAACAACGTGACACGGGAATTGGATTTGGGCTGCGAGAACAGCAATAATCAGAGCGGCGACATCGAGTAGAAATGACGACGACAGCGACCGGGAATGCAGGACAACAAAGGGAGGGTTTTCGCGGGGTGCGGCAACATGGAGGATGGATGGACAACAAGGAATTGCAAAAAGAACTACAAAGGGTTGTTGTCAAGCGGCCTGCAACGAGGATGAATGCGTGGCAGTGAAGCGGGAGAGATGTAGAAGAGTTTGGGAAGGATAAGTACCATTTCAGCAGTGAGATACAACCATAGCACCACTCGACCCTTAGAGGAGAATCACAACTTCGAAACAAGTTACAATCAGAGGACCACTCGCCCTTTGCCATAACCCAAACTGGAAAACAGGGGTGGTTGCTGACGACTGTCCTGATAGAAACCAATAAAGAACTTCCCTAAAAAATGAAAACAACATACTTATAGACTTAGGGTAAAGATGGTTGACCTCTATAGCGTGGGCAACAACCCCAAGCAAACCGAAAGGTCGGTTGACCCTTAAATTATCCTGACCAAACGGTCCAAATCGTGCTTGACGCGGCCTCGCATCGATCGGACGCTAATGACGCATCTCGCTGGGAGCGTCAGTATCCTTTGTTTGTGGGAGCTTCGACTTCATCCGTTGAAGCTTCTGTTTTCACATAGTATGGAGTCAAGTCTATGTTGAAGGTAGCAAAAATGTTGTAATCCTCTGACAAGTCAATCCTGTTGGCAATTTCATTTTAAAACATATCCTGATAGAATAGGTATTCATCCTCTTTTAGCATAAATAGAACTAAAACAGTGCATAGATAGGTATCATCACGAACTAAACTTTGTGTCATTAAGTCTGTAATTGGCTTCTTCCACTCCTCATGTTCGTCTGAGTTTCTCTGTTAAACAAGTGTGCAAGTAGGATTCAACTTTGAGACAAAATCTATATAGGGTTGGTCAACTCCCAATGGCAACCACTTGGGAGAGGTATATTCTTCTTCTCTGGCAAACCTAGATTCCATTGTAGAATTTTATTCTCCACGAACCTTCTAAGACAATTTTCAAAGTTGCATGGTTCATCCCTCCTATTTGAACATCTGTTTGTGTGTACACTGTTGAATTGAATTTAATATCTGACTAACTCCATATAACTGCCAACATTAACTCACAAGCTTCTCATTGTTTACATGTTAGACCACTTTAAGATGTAACCACCTAATAGGTGAAATGACAATTAGGTTATCTGAAAATTCTACCAACAAGGGTCGTCCTCTCTCAGGTATCGGCTCCTCAGACTCGCTATCTTCTAAAGCCCTGTCTAATCTAGATGGAATCTCTCTCATCCGCACATCCTGAATCACTAGTGTCTCTTCCTTGTCGACTTGAAGTTGAGGCTCATTTTTGACGTCTTCAACCTTTCTTGTGTCGTTGTCTATTTTGTCAACTACTCCCTTCTTAGTGAAGAAATCATTCCTCTGGTTGGGCAATTTGATTTAATATGTTTAAATCCGTGGCACTTAAAATACTTTTTGGCTGAGACAAATTTGGGAATGTGGATTGGTTCTGCGCGTTCTACACTTTGAACTAGTGTCTCCTTAGGCGGGGTAGTCTTGGATGTTCCACTGGGTGTACTCTTAATCCTTGATCTGGGGTTGAACTCTGCTGTAAGATATGGCGGTTACTCAAGGATGTTGCTATAACTTGTGAGACCTTATGCACATATCCTGCATAAGCCATGCGGCTAGGTATTGGTGTTACATTTTTCTTTTTTTCTTGGACCAGGTAATAATTTTACTTATCCCTACTCGTTGTCAAAGAATCTTCAAGTTCTCCCACAAAGAAGATGGACTTTCCTTAACTTGTTGGAGTCTAGTTTCACCATTACGTCTAGTGGGACATATTGACACTGAAAGACACATTCCATTGTCTAGAACCACTCAATGAACTCATCCCTTGTGGTCGTCAAAATATGTTAAATCCATCTTTACTTCAAAATCCTGGCTTCTCCAATAATTCATGCCAAATCTTTGGGGCAGTGGTTCTTCATACCCAGAGTCCGCCTGGTAGAAGGGATTTTCTTCATTCCTTCGATCTGGCAAGTCACAGTTATGGTTACGAGTGACCCTTCCTGATTGTCTCATCTTGAAAGTGGCATGCCTCTATTGCAGTTGGAGGATTTCTTGCTGCACATGGAAAGTACTTGTACTTCTCTTTATGAACTTCTCATAAATGACATTGTGACTTTTCCTCATGATTAGGTCTACGATAATTGTCTCTTTTGCTGCATAGGTTTATATAGGTGGAAGAGGGTATATTGGGATGATGGAGGGTGAAAAAAAAATTTTTGGGTGATTGCATTGAAAATCATCAAAGGGATTAGGTCTACGATAATTGTCTCTTTTGTTGCATAGGTTTATATAGGTGGAAGAGGGTATGTTGGGATGATGGAGGGTGAAAAAAAATTTTTTGGGTGATTGCATTGAAAATCATCAAAGGGATGGATTTTTGTGTGCAGGTGGGGCTTGGTATTGGTGGATGCTAGAAACCCTAGTATAGGATTATGTTTAGGGTAGCCCTGATATCAAATGATATTGGAGTTAACCGAAACAACAATAAGCAACCAAATATTATTACTAAAAAACTAAATAGGTGGTTACAACTAATACAAGGAAATGGGAAAACAACAAACACAACACTTAAATAGGTTTGTATTTTATAGGTGAGTTGGTTGGTTGGTGGTTTGGAAGGCTGGATGGTGGGGAGGCAGCAAGGGGATAATGGTGGCAGCAAAGAGAGATGAGAAACTGCCAGAACAATAATAAGGTGGGCTGCTCTAGGCGGTGGCAGCAAGGATGTAGGGCTAGACAGCGGCAAGGCGGCACTGGGATTAGTTTTGGGCAGCCAGAACAATAGAAAAACCGCATGAAATGGCTGTTTAGGGCGGTGCAGCGAGGGAGAATAATGGAGGCGGCAACAAGGAATGCGTGGAATTGCGAGACAGCAAAAAGAGGGTTGTCCGGGGTGCAGTAGCATGGAGGATGGCTGGACAGCAAGGAACTGCAGGAAGAATAGCAAATGCCTGCTGTTGGGGTGGCCTGGAGTGAGGAGGAATGCATGACAGGGAAGTTGGAGGGATGCGGAAGAGTTGAGAAAGGATAAATATCACTCAAGTGTGAGATACAACTGGAACACCATTCTATCTTTGGAGGATCACCGCCTTAAAATGAGCTAATACCAGGGCACCACTTGCCCTTGGATACAACCATAGACGAGAAAACAGGGGACGCCAACGGCTGTCCTAACAAAAACACAATAAAAAACTGCTCTAAAACATAAAAACAACATCCTTATAGTTCTAGGGTATAGAGGAGCCCATAGGGTGCGAGGAAACCCAAAGCAAACCAGAAGGTTGGTTGACCCACAAATCATCAGGACCAAATGGTTCGGACCACGACTGGCACAGTTTTGCGTCTAACAAATGTCACATCGCATCTCTTGGGGAATAGAACCCCGCTTCAATTGAAGCATACGATTAAAGAATGATTCTGTTAGAGGAATGCTTGTAGTCACATCTATAAAGATAAAACTAGTTGAAAATAGAATTACATAGTTTGGACATTTAAAACCAAAGGTTAGAAAATGCACCCATGATTTGAGTAGACAAAATTAGTATCAAAGTGTATGGAAAATGTCAGGTTTAAGGTAGCATAAATAGATGTTTAAAATAATTTGTCAAGAACAGATTTTACACCTCTGGCATCAGTCAACAAATATAAATAGAAAATGAGCATGCATAAAGTTGACTGCAAATAATCGGGATAGTTGACTGCAAATACGTAAGTTGTTAATGATGTTGATAATGTTTTCAGTTATCAGTCTTCTGGTTTTTTTCATATTTGTGATTAACTGCCTTTTTGGCTATTTTTATATTTGTGATTAGCCTTTTGGTTATTTTCATATTATTCACAAATGATATTTGCCTGCGTACATTTAAATATTCAGGTTGGGAATGTTGATGCTCTTAATTGTTACTATGCTCATGGTGAAAATCGCAACTTTAAGAGGCGAATTTATTGGATGCTGGACCCGTAAGTTAGTGTGGCACACTTTTTAGTTGTATGATACTATTTATTATTTATTTTTGTCGATCATTTATTTTGTGTTAACTTGTCTCCACAAGGCATCACTCCTTTTGTGTTAACTTGTCTCCACAAGGCATCACTCAGTTATTTTTGTCGATCATTTCTTTTGTGTTAACTTGTCTCCACAAGGCATCACTCATCGCCTTGGTTGAATTGTCAAAACCTGACCGAAATGCTTTTCCAATACCATAATCCACTTGATTTTCCATATGAAATTCTTAACAAGTTTATAAGTTGATTTGTATGTACTTATTATTTGCTTTTTCTTTTATGAAATTTTACTTAGAACTCTTAAGGATAAGCATTCTGTTGTCATCGCTGCTATATTCTTGAAACTATGAATTTAAGGATAGCAAAAATTACTTTCGAAATCTGTTTTAAGTTTGCAAGTATATGAACTTCAAGGTAAGTAAAGTTATCATAGAGTTACTTTCCACTTTGATGATTGGTAGTTCTATTTCACCAACTGGTTTTGTTTCTGAAAAATTTCCCGAACTCTACTACTAGGCATTTTGAAAAAAATTCTCAATGTTTATTTTGAAGAGAAATTTCCAGCTTGATTCATTTGTATCAAAACTTGAACTGAAATATTTCTAAACTCTGATAGAGCTTTCTGTGGTAAAATCTAAGGTAAGATTCTGGACTTCAGAAGTTGAACTTTATTAGGAAGTCCTGGGGCATCACACTATGATTTACTCAAATATCATATTGGTTGAAGATATTATTTGTGTTGTGCCGATGTTCTACTAGTCTAATCTCTTGTGATTAGAAATTCCTAGGGAAATAGCCTTGCTAAAGGCTATAGATTAACAGTTTCATCTTGTGTTATTGTTGGTTGTAAGCGTTTGCAGCAATGTAAATAAGCACAGCCATGCCTTATATACCCAGGTCAAGTTTGAAACAAAGAATTCTGTTTAACTATTTCTCTCTCTCACACATGTGAGCTTGCATGCATAAACACAATTGTATGTGGCATTATGTACAATTTGTAACTATTTAGGGATAATGTAAATGTCAAAAATTAGTTTCGTTGGCTGCTATAGGTCTTTCAGTACTCAACCTATTAGTTGCAACAACCCAAATTCAGGGCTTGCTCGATTAAATGGGTGTTGATGAATCGATGCTCTAATCAATCTAAATTGGATGAACAACCTTGACTAGACAAATCCAACTGAGAGACATGTTGACCTCTATATTTATTGCATATGATAAATCAATCGGACGCAACTAGAATGATAAACGATGAATGCATGCTATGCAAATTAAGAGTGCCAAAAATCCCTAAGAAAGATTGCTTGATAAAGGTGACGAATAATCAATTTGATGATGCACAATGTAATTTGAAATATTTTGATCACCATCAAAATTGCCGAGACAACATTTGTTCGCAAAATAGACTGTTTTACTGCATTCAAAACACCCAATCATCCAAGAATGGCTCTTTAGTGTATACAATAAACTTTATATTCATCACTGCATAAAAAATAGCTGGATTGCTTCAAGTGTCCAAAATGACAATTGTTCATAAGATGAATTATGCCGATCTACTTGGAGCATTGAAATTTATATAAAAAAATAAACCCTTTTGTGGTCGATTTGGTCAATGTGATAACAACGAATGACTACGGACATGACGTGCATGAGTTGTACCCAATTTGCCTTAGTCATCTTTGGGTGTCACGATCCGGCACGAGGGCTTAGAATTATCAAAGCTAGAAGAGACGGTTGGATGATGAAATATAAATTCTATCACTAACTAATACAAACAAGCATCTAAGCAAAACAAAAGAGCCATTAACAATTAAAAACCTAGAAGTAATGCAGTTATTGATTAAAATTATCTTCTTTTAGGTTGGTCACATTTTCTATAAATATTTTTCCTTCTTTTGCATATCTTCTATTTAAAAGCTTAAATATGAAAATTTTAGCGTATTATAATTGGTCATCAACAATTTTACTGAATGCTCACACCACTAAAATTACAATAACACAAAAAAATATATAATATGCTAGTTAAGATGTAGTAACTCAACATCAAATTTGTATGTTGTTGTAGGATAACATCTACACATGCGGGTATATTAGCATCCTCTGTCTGCACCAAAACGGGGAAACTCTCCTTTCATGCACATACACATAGAAGGGAAGGCTCTCTGCTAAGCTGATCACATGCGTGAGGTTAGGGGCAGGGGCTAAAAACTTCATAAAGGCAAGTTTTATGTTTTAAATAATTAATATATTTTATTATGAATAATTATATTTGTGTGAGGGTATGTCTATTTAATTAATGCAGAGTTTTATTAAATTAGAACTCTAATTATAGGAATTTTGGCCCGGAAAGAGGAGTTGATGAAGTGGGCATGTTGGGGAGGACGAAGATTGATATGGGCAAATAAGTAAGTGAGATTTTTAATTTTTGGTTTAATAGTAAATTTAATTCTCTTTAAATTGTTCGATTATTATTATGAATTAATAAACAATTCTTCAATTCAACATTTATTGATTAATAATAGTGAGCTATATTATTAATAGGCATCAAGAAATCAAGGAAGTTTTGCTCTGTAATATATATTGTGGACTTTACTAAAAGAAAAAAAAGGAAAGTTACGTTTAAGGATTTATTAGTTTTCAAAATATTTAGCGTGATAAATAAGTAATAAATTTTAATATCGTGTTCTATATTGCCATGGATTAAAGAATTTCTTTTTCAAAAGATTTAAAATTTTGGAGAGTAATCACATCAAACAAGATGAGTGATTATCTGTTTTTATGTATTAAATTAATATTTTATTAAAAGAGTAATTTCTTTATTAAATAGTTTAAAACAAGTTTTTTCTTTCATGTGTGACATTTTGAAAGTTTGAAATTGTATCACAGATAGAAGGAAAATAACAAGCATATGAATGCACATTTTAAAGAATTTTAAATTGATATAAAATTAAATGTAAATGTTAAATTATACAGGATTATCTTTATATGGTACTGGCTGGAGATGTGATGTACCAATGAACTTTTAAAGTAAATTTGGTAAAGAAATATACAGGATTATCTTTATATGGTAAAGGAAATGGTAAAGGTATATTTTCAGGTGCAATTTGGGTGTATATTCATGTAAATTTATTAGGGTACCTACTAGTATATTTTGAGAGTAATTTTGGGTATATTTTTTAGGATACCTTCAAATATGATGATAATCCAGTTTTGACTTTTAAAGTTGTTAAAAATGGTAAATACATAAAGTGAAATGAGAAGGAAAAACTTTAATATCAAAGCTTAAAAGTGTTATAAAGAAATAGCATTGGCATGATTATTTAATACATATTAAGATTATAATTACTCTCCAAGTCAAACTTACAGTTGAAATTAATATATTTTTCAGGAGAAGAAAAACTTTAGATTAATATGCCTGAAAGGAGTTGGTTTACAAAAGGAAGACTGGAGTTGATAGGTATTAGCTATAATGTGTTGTTTCTTTTTATCATTTCCTTTAGATGTTGATATATTGTTTAGTACTGGTTTAAGATGTGGTTTTTTATTATGCTATTTTTGGATGTTTAAATTTTATTACACTTTGTGAATTTTAGTGGCTCTTTTATAAATTGAAAGATTTCATAATTCTGCAGATGGTTGTTTAACTGTTAATACTGCTGACTGCTGTTTGCATCTTAATTAATTCTAAGCCACGCACCGAGTCGTCAATAAAACTTACGGAGCTAATTTTCTAAAGCATATGATCATTTCATCTGAATCGACGAAACAACCCTATAACAAGTTTTCTCAATCCACCTCGAGCTCGTCGCCTAGTGTAGACAACCTGAAATTCGTAAGCATCTTAGGATTTTTTGAAATCTTAGATTATTTTGCGATTTAACCCCAACATAACTTTCCCAGCTCAGATAGACTTCTCAGCATAATCAACCATTTTCCAATACTTTCTATTTTTCTTCCCTCTTCCTCCTATCCACTTAAACTTTCCCCAACTCATGAAATGGATTTATCTGTGATCGTATTTCTCGATTCAACAATTTTGTGGTTGTTCCCGCAAAGCTACAAAAATAGCAAACGAATGGAATGCTTCGATCCGTAGCAAATGTCAAAATGGAAATGTAAGGAAAGGAATGTTATAGATATTGTGATAGAGGAATTCCTATCTTTTTATCTCTCCCCAGAACCTTGAATTTCTGCTTGCAGCTATTAAGGGTCGCGCGTCTGCGGCTGCTATAAGGACCAAGTCGCTGGATCTTTCTTCCAAGCGAATTTGAAATCAGGGAGAGGGGAAATTGAGGGAAATGTGGCATATAAACATGATCCCATTTAATCCCATCCGTTCGGCCGAATCCAGCTTTTGCATACGCACATTAGTGCTGGAGAGGGAGTCGGCTGGGAACAATTATGAGATTAGGGAGAACAATTAAGGGATTAGAATTAATTAAAGATAATTACACGTGTACCTTTATAATTTTATATCTTCTCATGTGTTTGAAATTTATGCATAGTGCTATATATCAAATTAATCAATTTGATGTGTAGAATTTTATTAAATTGATTCAGCCGACGTCTGAAGGATGCAAAATATGTGATATATTTTAAAATTGTCAAAATTGGGTGTTACACCAACCACTGGTGATCATTAGAGGTTCATCCTGCAAACCTAGAGGGTTCGATTGAACCCCTCACTAGTGCCTTGAGGTTTTCCAATGATCTGGCAACCTGTATATCCTCAAGAAACATATAAGTGCTTGTGCTCTCATAGGGATGTATGGTGCAATAAGATTTCGTTAAATAAGCATTTTAAGTTGAATCATTCTTAGACTCCAGTAGCAACTTGGTGTTCTAATCTTATTATTTCTCTAAAATTTATTTGGTATTAGTGCCGCTTTCTGTTTTGCCCCATATTTTGCATTTTACTTGTCTTTTATTACTCATGTACTTTTTTCATTCTGTTTTTATATTAATACTAAACAATAAGTCATCTTTTGCTTCATGTCTTTCTCTTTGCAGGGCTTACGATCACATTGTTCTAGTTCACTACAGAGAAGTGTCTGAGGTTTGTACGATCTTTTCAGGTTTTTTTTTTTAATTTTTTATTTTTCATTCATACTGCATATTTTTTAAGCTATAATTTTGGAAAATGAAAATGAATTTTACTCTAGAAATGACAAATTAAACCTCACCGTTAAGCCATACACATAGCCTATTGATTAGGTGCTTTGTCTCCAAACACAATATTCTGAGTTCATGACTTGGCACATTTGCGTGCATGAGTTAAAAAAAAGCTACACAAACACTCAATAACATATCACAAAAGTCTCTAAGATCAATGGAAGGATGCTCTAATATCCATTAGCTTGTTCCACATCACTAAATGTTCTCCACTTGTGCTTGACTTCTCCCTGTACTGTGATGCCTAGATATATTTTACCAAAAAGTTAACTTATTTATTGCGCGATTTACTAGAACATAATATTTTCTTGTTATTGTTGGATATTAGTAATTCACTGCATGTCTGCCTAAATATGATATATTTCAACTGCTTGGACAGTTTACCTCTCAGCTATTAATGTAAGGATGAAAATTTTGGTATTTTCCATGAAGTAACGAATAATTGTACTATCAAAGTTAGTAGGACGGTTATGTTTGCCAACGTTTGCACTCATTTCAGAGTCACAACTTCACTGGTTACAAATTGTTTTTTCGCATGCAAGGGATTTTTCGTCTGTTCCATATAGTTTTTTTTTTTTTTTTCACATTGAACTGGAATGGACTATCATTCCTCTATTCTTCGGCAGTGTCTCATAGGAATGTCAGAAGGCTAAATAATTTGTGGAAAGACCTTACATAAACCCTTAAGGGGGGTAAATTGAGTTGTTTTAATAAAATTCATGAATTTTTTTTTCTCAATTACTTATTTATGCAAGTTTTATCTGTGATTCGAGGTTTGGAAGTTAAAAATTCTTGCAATAATATAGTCATTGAGCTAATGTTAACCAATATTCACAAAAAAATGAGAGAAAAATAAGTGGTGATCCAAACTGATTTGCTAGTGTTTGATAACACATATTCTTACATCCACTTATCATTCCTCTATTCTTCGGCAGTGTCTCATAGGAACATCAGAAGGCTAAATCATTTGTGGAAAGACCTTATATAAACCTTGAGGGGGGGTAAATTGAGCTGTTTTCATAAAATTCATGATTTTTTTTTTCACAAATTAACTTATTTATGTGAGTTTTATCTGTGATTCGAGGTTTGGAAGTTAAAAATTCTTGCAATAATATAGTCATTGAGCTAATGTTAACCAATATTCACGAAAAAAAATGAGAGAAAAATAAGTGGTGATCCAAAGTAATTTGCTAGTGTTTGATAACACATATTCTTACATCCACTTATAATAGCAATGTATTGAAAGCAAGCAGAATCAGTCATTTACCTCGGAGCATGCCTAGTTGCAAAATCACCTTGTTCTAAGCTGAAAATGATGAAGCACAAGATGGTGAATCGTAGTTTATCACACATTAAATTTAATAACTCTACAATTGTTGACCTCATTTTTTAGGTCTTTCTTTTCCCCTCCTTAGAGCCTAGGATCTGGACTTAGGTTCTTCTTGACCTTCCTAGAAGACTAGTATTGGAACCCCTCTCACATAGAACTTCAAACCACTTCTTGACCCATTTTTGTGAAGTCCTCGCATGAGTGGTCCCAAGCACTCAACTTTTAGTTGCAAGGGCTAAGGACCAACATGTGGAGGGCCTTAAAATGAGTTCTCAAAAGTGGAGGGCCTTAAAATGAGTTCTCAAAAGTGGAGGGCCTTAAAATGAGTTCTCAAAAGTGGAGGGCCTTAAAATGAGTTCTCAAAAGTGGAGGGCCTTAAAATGAGTTCTCAAAAGATTTAGGAGGCCTTAGGTAAACCATATGTGACTCGAACACTAGCGAACACCGCAATTTATGCACTCACTGCATCACGCACGACGTTGTCTTGAATTGACCTGACAGTCGACGAACTTGTCCGGACGACCTCGAATGACGAAATGGACCCCGCAAATGCATCCAGAACGTTGACTTTAACTAGGAAAGACAATCATATTGTTATGGTTACGCACTTGCACAAACGACACGAAAATTGATGCACTTGAATATTTAATTAGGTGGTGCGAGTCTAGGCTCCACCCAGGTGCAATTCGGGCTGGACACAAGCTGAACACAGGCTAAATAATTTCAAATTTCAAAAATTCGGATTTCAAAATTAACCGCCCGATTCTACTTTAATAGGGCTTAATTGAGAGTTATTATTTACCTAATAAAACTGCCCCAGGGATTGAAACCATTCAATAGCCCGCCTAATGCCCTGTAACGGACAATTGTGGCTATTGAATTCGGCTGGGTGGCTCCTCCCCTGCATTCAACTCTTTCTGCCTGGAATAATACGATCCCTCTCCAGCCCGCTCGAGACACAGCTGCTTTAAATATCCCAATCGAAAGCTTTCCCTCGCCTCCTCCTTCCAGACAAACCGAATCCCTCCGCCTTTTCTCTCCTCATCTGGCCACCCCTCACCCGCTCCCATCTGCTCTCCTCTCTGCGCTTCTTCCCCACGCCGAACAACCCACAGAACCCTGCCTCCTCTCCACGCTCCTCCCCTCCGAATTTCTAGCCAAACATATCCCTTTCCCTCACGGCTTCTTTGCCGTAGATGCTTCCTCGCCGTCAACTTGCTCCCCGGCTCCCGCCAGCAAGTTTACGTAAGGAAATCTGGAATTGTGAAGTCAACTCAAATTTGGAAGAAAAAAGTGAGAAATTAATTGGGGAAATCTGAGATTTCAATCTTTCCAGAATTAACATATTCTCAGGTTCTCTGTTTTATACTCAATTAAATCTTCTTACTATTTTCAAACTGAATGAATATCTACCAATTTTTTTTTCTTGGTCATTTCCGCTTGTGGGTTGATTAAAAAAAAATTCTGCCAGAATTTGAAAGTAGCTGCAGCTAGGTATAAATCCTCATTGAAAGTGATACTTGCAAGTATCTTGCTCACGGATTAATGATGACATTTTTTTCTGTTTCTGAGTCAAGTGGCAATCAATAAAGCACATATTCAATTACCTTTTTGTAAAAAATTTCATTGTTTTAAAAGTATGCATTGATAAAGGCAACACCTCCAAGTTTGTTTGAGTTCTTGCAGATATTCAGGATGGAAATGGTGGCACTTGATTGACTGTCAAATTTAACTGAGAATTTATGAAACATGAAAAGGATTTTTTCTCAATCTTGGAAAATATCTTTCCAATGCTGATATGTATATTTGTTAGAGAAGTTTCTTTTATGTTTGCCTCGTAAAAATTGTTCATGTTTTGTGCCTTTGCTAGAATTTTGTGCATTCAGGTTTTACGGATGTCCCTAGTTAAGCTTTGAAGCTAGGTTGTTTGAGGTTTTGCAGACTTCTTTACCACTGATTGGATCTATCGTTGGGATACTGAAAAGATTGAACATTTTTTTTTTCCGTATCACAAAAAAAAGGGTTGGATCTTGATCTTATTATGCTTGCGATTAAAAAAAATGGATTGGTTGTTTGATCAGATGTTTTTCTCTTCTTATCCTTTAATGGTGAATTTACATATGCAACATACAATTCCTTAGGAATTTTCACATCTAAACACTATGAGCTTTAATCCCTTTGTGGATGTATCACTTTACCCATGATAAAAAGCTGACTTATTAGCTGATTTTAGCAGCTTTATATGTCATTCGGATGTCGATCCATCATTGATTTTAGGGTTTGGTGCCTCATTTAAAGTGCTGGCATGCCCATTGTTTTGGGATTGGTTTGGGCCAATTTTGCTGCAGTTTTTGGGGCTTTCAATGTACCCTTTTAGGAAGGTTTTGTCACTGTTTTGGGGCTGGTTTAGATTGGTTGCAGTTTTTGTACCTTTTTAGGGAGGTTTGGTAACTGTTTTTGGACTGTTTTGGGCTGATTTTGCTACAGTCTTGGATTCTTTAAACGGACCTTGTTTGGGGATGTTTTGGGACTGCTTTCGCTGCAGTTTTTGGTACCTTTTTAGGGAGGTTTTGTCACCGTTTTGGGACTGTTTTAGACTGGTTTCGCTGTAGTTTTTAAACTTTTTTAGGGAGGTTTGGTCACTGTTTTAGGACTGTTTTTGGCTGGTTTTTTTGTTGTAGCCTTGGAGCCTTTAAACGGACATTGTTTTGGGAGGTTTTGGGACTGCTTTGGGCTAACTTTACTACAATCTGGGAATCTTTAAATGCACCATTTTGGAGCCTTTTGTGACTGATGTGGGCTAGTCTTGAGCATTTTTGGAGACGTAAAAATATCATTTGGGGTTGTTTTATTCATTGTTTTGGTGACATCAAAGGCATCATTTTGGGGTTTTGTATACACTGTTTTGAAAATATTATGAACACTATTTTGGCAATGTTTTAATGCTGTTTTGGAGGCATTAAAAGCATCATTTCACGGTTGTTTATACATCATTTTGGAGAGGTTTTGGGCATCATTTGAGCATTGCTTTACATGTTGATTTGGAATCTTTAAATGTTGTTATTTTTGGCCGATCAAAACAAAATCCCGGGAGCAGATTTAGACACTCTTCTTGGGAACCGATTTAGTTATAATTTTGAAAGAATTTAAATGTTTTTAGGTCGATTCACTTGTTGTTTCCCTCTTGGCTTTGTTAGTTTTGGAAGTGGGTCGGCCTTTTTTTTTTTCTTTTGTTTTGTTTTTTCTGTTACAAGGTTAAGTTAAAATGGGGATTTCTGATTTTATTATTCGGAAGACACTTAAGGATATTTGAGTATTAGTTGGAAAACACTTAATTGAG